GCCCACTTCTTAGTATACCCTTGGCTTTCCCAGAACTCAGAGCTGCAGTGACCCATTCCCAACCTCCAGTACTTCTTCCAAATGATATGTGTTCCTGAGACCTATTGGCACAGTCCCCTGTTGTCCTGTGTCATCTGTTGGCACAGTCTCTCATTATCCTGCATCTTGCCCCAGCTGGTCAGAGATAGCTGAGTTCAATCCCTGGCCAGCACATCCTTGGCTTTGCAGGGATGTAAAGCATAGAGGGAACAAAGATGGCAGAGAGGGTCAGTACCATCCTCAGAGTCCTCTGGGTATGCTCCTGCCCAAGGCAATTTCTGGGTATATGTTTCCTGTGGCCTCCCAGGAAGAGGTCTGGAAGTCCTCAGGATCCAAAGGCAATAGGTTGATAGGTTGGGCAGTGATGCAGGGTTGCTGTGAGGCCACACCCTGTCCCACTGGTGCCTAAGAAGCAGATTTCCAGAGGATTGCTAGAGGCTGTGTTAGAGCTCCTACCTGGGAGCAGGCACCCAACTCAGACACCCATGGGCTGGGTGGGCCAAGAACACCTGGAATACATAGAATGTTGGTGGGGGCTGCTGCTTTCCCAAAGTCTGTCCTGATCTGCTGCCTCCCACCTTGTCTCTCCCAGACCCGCAGCCCTGACATCATGACACCTCAGCAACCAGAGGGGGAGCCCTGGCCTGGGAGAAGGAACCTGTGGTCTGGGTGGATCCTTTCTCGAAGCCTTCTCCCCAGGAATGCTCCACCTATAGTGATGGATGATCATGGGAGAAGCATTGTGGGAGGACTGTCTGGCAATGCTGAGAAGGTGGATGGGCTTAGACCCCACCCATGGACATCTGGCCTCCCCCATACCCATGAGGAACCCTGCAAGGAAGACAGTTCAAGGCAGCCACTGAAGGATCTAGCCATGGGATCACCATGCAGCAGCCACCATGACTGCCAGCTGGGCCCAGACTTCTCCCTGCCACACGCCTGGGACCTGTCTAGAGACAAAGGTGATCATCTCCCTTATCTGAACACCCAATGCTGGTCTGGTTGCTAAAGGGCAGCAAGAGAGGTCTTGGAGCAGCTGGTGGTTAATGCCCAAACCCCAGAGCCCACACAGGTGGCAGAGAAGGTTTTCAGCATGCCAGAAAACATAGAATTTGGCAACTTCAGACTTTGGGTTAGTCCTACTGCCGCCATGGGAGAGTTAGAGGCAGACACATTTGGAGTCTAACCCATTGGAGTCCAAACTCCTATCTACCTAGGGTATGGTCCTGGTATAGTGGCCTGTCTGGGACTCAGTTCCCCTGTCTCTGCAGTAAAAGTGGGTATGTGAACAAGAGCTGCTTCTGATGCCTTGGGGGCCCTGGCTGAGTCAGGGGAGTATAGGCATCCTCAACCTTGGCAGTCTCTCTCTCTCTTTCCATCTATCACTGAGCAGTCCATATACAAAGTATTCAGGGGCCACGTTGAGCCTATCTAAGCTGCCTGCAGTTATTCACTGAGTTCGAATTGCATGCCAGGTCCCACTCATATGTGTGTGTGTTTTATATATATATGTGTTCATGTGGATGTATGCGTATGCATGTGTACATGTGTGTGGTGGCCAGAGGCCAATATCAGGTGTCTTCTTCATCAATCTCTCTCTACCTCACTTTGTTTTTTGTTTGTTTGTTTGTTTGTTTTTTGAGACAGGGTTTCTTTGCGTAGCTCTGGCTGTCCTGAAACTCACTCTGTAGACCAGTCTGGCCTTGAACTCACAGAGATCCACCTGCCTCTGCCTCAGCAGTGCTGGGACTAAAGGCGTGCACCACCACCACCGGCTGTACCTCACTTTTGAGACAGAGTCTCTCACTGGACCTGGAGTTCATCTCTTTGGGTAGGCTGGCTGTCCAATGAGTTCCAGGGATCTGTTTATGTCTGTCTTCCCCAGCGCTATGGTCGCAGATGCGCTCAGTGCTCTGTTGTACCTGGCTCTTCTGTGGGGTCTGGAGATACGAACTCAGGTCCTCATGCTTGCTGAGAGGAAACTTTATCCACTGAGCCAGCCCAGCCCACTCTTGGCCCTCCAATTTCACATGGGGCAATAGCATGAACAGGAGAGCTAAGAGTTAAACAGCAATGTGGGAGGACTAGGGCTAGACAGGACTAGGGCTCTCACAGGCGGCCATATCAGGTCTCATAGGAAGAGCCCTGCCAATGCCCCAGCTCAGGCAACAACAGGGGCAAAGGCCCTGAGGTAGCAGGAGGCCAGCTATTTCTGCAGGCTGGTAGATTGAGCATGCGCTTGGGGTGGGGGAATGACAGTGTCAGCAGGAGAAAACAAGGGTGGCAGTGTGGCTGGGCCGGGAGCCACAGGCGGAATCCAATACTTCTGATCCCAGAAGTGACATCCAATACACACACACCCCCATGCCCCCATGAGGACAGCACTCGGGATGTATGGTAGCAGTACCTGGGATGTGAGCAAATGGGTGGTCAAGAAGCGAACTCCTCTCACTCTGTGTGACTTCAGGCGGGTGTGCTCCCTCTCTGTGCTCCGTTTGCACCATGCAAGATGAATTACGATTCTCACACCCGGCCCAGCCTATCCTGCATCAAGCTGTCTTGGAGGCTGACCTCCTTTCCTTGGGGAGGAAGCCAGTGCTCTGGGCATAGTGGGGATGGTGTGGCAGGTGAGATGGTCGGTTGGCTGAGTGCTGGCACAGCAGCTGGGTTATGCCCTCTATGTGGACCCTGCTCTCTATGGTTTTACACTCTTTCCTTCAAATGGAGCTGCAGAGGGTTGTGAGCCATTTGTTGGGAATCAAACCGAGACCCTCTCAAGAGCAACAAGTGCTCACAACCTCTGAGCCATCTCTCCAGCCCTTTTACACTATCTCCTGTGTACGTGGATGTAGAAGTTTCTTCTGGTGTTGTCCTGAACTGTCACCTTTAAGATTTATAACCACCGAGAAAAGAAAAATGTGTCTGTCTGTGAGGGTATTTCCAGAGAGGACTGGCTGAGCTATATATATATATATATATATATATATATATATATATATATATGGAGCTGAGTGAGCAGCAGGCACTCATTGCTCTCTGTTGCTTGACTATGGATGCCAGCTGCTTCATGCTCCTGCTGCCATGTCTTCTCTACCCTGAAGGGCCATATCCTCTCACTGTGTGCCCCCTGCCCCCAAGTCCCTTCCTTCCTTCCTTTAGTTGCTTTTGTCAGAGCAAAGGAAAAGGTAAATGGTACAGAAAATTGGTACCAAGGAGTAGGGTTATTGCTGTGGTAACCTGCCCATGTGGTTCTTGGGCCTTTGGAACGAGCTGGCAAGAGTAAAGTGAATGTCAGAATTCAGAGTTGCAGGCTACTGCAGGAAAGCCCTAGAATTCTCCATGAAAATAGAGCTTTCTGGTGGGAGTTTAGAGGACAGAATTTGGAGAGAAACTGAGGAGGGCCTGGCTCATGAGGTTTCAGAGGGGGACGAGGACTCTGGGGACTGGGCTACCAGCCATGCGTGGGATAGTCTGGCAGAGAGTCTGGCTGAAGTCTATCCATGTTCCGAAAGCTGGAGTGGGGCTGAATTCAAAGGTTATAGGCTCATTCGTTTGGTAGAGGATGTTTCAAGACAGGATAGAATTTGGTCTGTGGTGTGGTCACTGTTTGCTCTTCTAAGTGTATAGTAAAACAAAGCAGAAACTGAAGCAGACAAATAAGAAAAGTTTGCAGCTTGGTGAGCAAAAGAGTGTGAGGGAGTGTGAAGTCCACACAAGGCCTTGCTGGGAAGGCAGACATTAACCCCTTAAAGAGAAGCCTCAGCTCATCACTAGAGCAATGGGGAAGGTGCCCTGACCTCAAGAGCCTACCCAAGGAAGGCTCCAACTTGTTGACCACAAATCTGTTTGAAAGGAGAAAGCCTGGCCTGTGAATGCCACTGAGGTTTCCTGCTTGAAAACAACCACCTAGAGAAGTGTTTCCTCTGATTAGGCCACCCCGGTACACCTGAGCCACCACAGCTGGGGTCGCAGGGAGCCAGACTCCATCTGCAGCCAGAAGCAGAGCTCAGTGCTGATTATAGGCATGCAAGATGCAAGAGTTCCGGTGTTTGGAACTTCTAAAAGTCCTAGAAGGCTGTTGAGGCCAGGCAGTTGTGTGACGTGGTCAGATTCTCTTCAAATGCAAAAATTTGAAAGACCGCTGGGTGAAGCCATGAGGGTAGAGCCTAGGGCTGCAACTCTAGGACATGGGAGATGCCAGGACTATGAGATGCCTTTTGAGGAAAGCTGCAGGCATGGGGTGGAACTGAGTGAAAAGACAGGTTGTGTGGGCTGCAGGAAGCAGAAGTGGAGGGGCGGGGATACCCAAGGCTGGGATACCCAAGGCTATTGGAACCTAGATGATGACACTGTAGCCATGCCCTGGATTGAGATGTGATGTTTAGCTTGCTGGGTTACAGTTTTGCTTTGATTCAGTCTTGCTTGGTTGTGCCTCTAATCCTCAGCTTTGAAGACTTGGTGTGTGTGTGTGTGTGTGTGTGTGTGTGTGTGTGTGTGTGTGTTGACATGCATGTGGGTACCTACAGAGGTCAAAAAAGGGCATCAGATCCCTTGGCGCTGAAGTTATGGTGACCTGTGAATCACCTGACTGATGCTGGAAACTGAACTGTGATCCCTCTGTAAGAGCAGCGAGTGCTTTTAACTATGGAGTCTCCTTTCCGTGCCCCATGCTCACTTTTGAAATGGGAACACTTAACTCTGTAACATTGTGTGTCAGAAGCATGTATTGTGCAATTCACAGGCCTCCAAGTTAAGAGGCTTCCCGAGACTCAGCAGACTCTGCGCTTACACCTTGGGTAAGGGAAGAGTCTGCAAATGCATGAGGCTTCCAAGGGTGGATGTTAAGGTTTAAAAGTGATGCCTTTGAGTGTCAGGTTGACAAGGGGTGGACTTATGATGGCTGGTGTTGGCAACCTGGTAGGATTCAGAATCACCAAGATGACAAAATTTTGACCATGTCATTCGGGTGTTTCCAGAAAGGTTTAATTGAGAAGAAAAAACTGACCTAGAATGTGAACAGAACATTCCATGGCTTAGAGACCTGGGATGGATAAAAAGGAGAAGAAGGTGGGTTCTGCTCTCCCACTGTGGGTGGAATGCAGCCAGCACTCCTGCTCCCGAGTTTCCCCCAGCATGACGGACCGTACCCTCAAACTGTGAGCCACGCAAACCCTTTCTTCTGCAGGTGTTCTCGTCTAATACTTTGTCACTGCAACAAGAAAAGTAACTGTGCACCTTTTTGCTCAGGTAGCACCAGGCCCCCAAATTGCAAGCTGACTGGTCCACATCCTGGGGGCAGGATACACAGGCATTCTCCTCGGACTCTGATTCCTCAGAGGATGGGCACTTGGAATCCTTGAAATGCAAAGGCCAGAACTTCTGCGGGCAGGAGGAAGCAACAGAGGATGGCAAGAGGCTGAAGGCTTGTGTCCATCTGGTGTGTCTGCCCTGCAGTGTGCCAAGCCAAGGAAGGCGCCAACTTCATTTGTTGTTCCACGTGTGCCACCTTCACCACTGCTCCCATGCAGGACTGGGTAGGAAGGACTTCGTTATCTTTCCTTGGGTAGAAGCTAAGAGGCCTAGCCTCATTCCGTTTGTTTTGCTGTTTCCTCGGGGTGAACTGGGAACCTTCAGCTCAGCACGGTGAGTGCAAGGCAGAGGACCAGGTGTTTGCAAGCGATCCCCAGGCAGCCCATGCCCAGTCCAGCTGGCTCACACACAGACTCAGCTGTGTTCTGACATCTCACCTGTACCCTTGTATGCTGTCCACCTCATCTCCGCCCCTCCCACTTCACCTCTGCCCCGATGCACGTTACTTTTACCGCCATCCTACTGTACCTGGGCCCTCATCTCACTGGAGGCCCCGCCTCACCTGTGCCTCCCAATGTCACCTATAACCGACACTCATTTCTGGCTCTACATCCCCTCTCCCCTCCAGGTAGCTGCTCTCATGCCTGCCCAGTTATCTCCACACAGTGCTGTGCTGATGCTAGAGGGCTGGAACGCTGAAGAACCAAAACTCCATCATTGTTCTCTAAATTTCCTACTCCTGAGCCCATGACCTTCGTCACATCCCCACATCCTGACTGCCAGCATCCCCACCCTGCCGTGTGGCTTAGCCACTCACCCACTCACTACAGCATCTGGGATACAGAGCTGCTCTCCCAGACAAGTGTGTGGTCCATGCCATTTTGTTACCTTTGCCCACCATCCCTCTTCTAGCCACCTGCCTTGAGGGGGGATCCCGTGAAGAGTGGATTTGAAGGTCTTGAGGCTGAAGGCCAGCATTTATACTGACAAGTATGGCACCTGCCCACAGAGGAGCCAGCCTGAAATTTCATAAACCTGCCACACAGAGGCCGAGAGCCGGCCTCCCCACAGTGTGGCTGTTTTGGAATGGTAGGATAAGAAGGCTCTTGCTCCTTTCCCTTCAAGGGCTCTACAGGAATAGTAGATGAGCAATGCTTCAGGAGAGGGCAGAGTGTGGGAGTAGAGCCCGGAGGGGTGGTGCCCCAGGTCATGGTCCAGCTCACACAGTGGATACAGGTCAGGCTCCAGACAGCTCTGCCTTCCCCAAAGTGACATCACACCAGGTTAGACACGATCACCCCTGAGCAGGGCCCACCTGGCCTCCTTGTGCCTTTGAGGGCTGGTATCACCAGTCAGCCTGCTCAGATGGCATTTGCTTTGTAGTGGCCGTCCTCCCCTGCTCTAACCACCATGATGGGGCTAGACTCAGAAGCTCAACTCTTGTCTAAGACTTGCTGAGTGATCTTGGACCCACTGCTACTCTTCTCTGGGCCATCAGTCCATCCTCAGTGGTCCCGGGAGTCCTTCATTCCTTCATGTGACTTCTAAGGTCACCCGAAAAGAACACAGGTCAAACACAATAGTGGGAAGGACAGTAGGAGGCTCTGCTCACGGAGTGTCGGTGCTTGCTGAGGCTCGGGGCTGCTGAGAGGCACCTGGTCTGTCCCCAGCTGTGTCCCCACAAGCAGCAGTGCTCAGAGCTTCCAGCCAACACTGCTGAAGCTTTGTGGAGGGGGCACTCAGCCACCAGGTCTGCGAACCCTGATGCAGCTTCCACACACAGCCTGCTGCCAGCCCCGCTTGAGGGTCGGGCACTGTTACAGTACAGCCAGAGAGTGGGATGGTATGCAGGAGTCTTCCGGCCTGCGGGAAAGACAGAGGGTTAGCAGGCCTCCAGCTCATGCCAGTGGCCACCCAAGCAGGCCACCGTGCGCAGGTCCACTAGTGTAGCCTGTCACCAGGACAACTGAGGACAGGCTGCCTGACAGGCTTTCAGGTAGCTGCTGGGATGAGGTTTTGGCCACTTCAACAGACCTCCCCAGATCCGTGGCGTCCCTCAAGAACCCCTGTCCAAGGCTGGCGAGGCAGGATAACTCCTGTGACTTAGCAATGGGAGTTGAGAGTAGCAGGACAAGGCTCAGCAGTGCCTAGATGCACCTGCCCACGATGTGTGAAGGAAAGGAGGGGTGAATGAGTGAGTATGTGTGAGGAGGAGGGTCCAGCCTCTGGGTCCCTTGACCATGCCTGCTCCCACCCCGGCTGTCTTTGGGATTCTGACATTATAGGGACCTGTTTTCCATGAGAGGGGAGCAGAGGGTTATTCTGGGCATTGGGAGGAGTTGAGGCTCAGGTCACATGACTGGAGAGGTGGAAGTGGCCCAGACCTGCTGTGGGCACTTCAGGCTTGAAGCTCTGCCCTGTGGTAGCAGAGCACATCTCACAGCACATAGCCCTGGGCGTGAATAGGGACAGGGGCACATACCTGGCTGCCTGCCAGCAGGACTAGCACCTGGGGATCTGACTCCGGGATGTCTGCCCACACTTCACTCCAGGCTATACCATTGTCGGACAGACGCAGGGTGCTACAGACCAGGCTAGGCCGAGGATCCACAGAGGGAGGCTTCTGGAGACAGAACAATAGGTTGGGGCTAGTCTCACCTGTAGTGATCTCTTTGTCCCCTGAGAAGACCGAGCCTGAACCAGGGCCCATGCTTGGAAGGAGGTGACCACATAGACATAGCTAAGGCCTGGATACAGGCTGAGGCAGGGTTAGATGGTTCTGAGGGTCACTGGAGGCCAGTGGGAGGGTAGCATGTGGTCTCAAGTAGGGTTTGGAGCTGGGCCCCCTTGGGAGAGTGAGTACATTCCAGGTTAGGACAACATCAAAGTATTAAGGGGAAGCCAGGCACTCAGGAAGACTGTTAAGTCTCAGACTAACCTGGGCTACATAAAAAATAAATGGAGGAGATTCAACAGTAAGTACAAAAGTGTGGGTCACAGGATGAAGGGGCCAAACACATTATACCCTCCAACACACACACACACATACACACACACACACACACACACACACACACACACACACAC